AAAACATTGCCCTAGTAAATGATGACCTCAATCTTTTAGAAAGAGCACCACATAGCAACCAAAAGGGTATAGCCAGAATGCCGTAAGATATAAGGATGGTGTGACTTTGTCTTCCGTGCTTTAGACATGTTCTAAGAAAACACCAATTACTAGAAAAGAACATGTTTGGTAAAGTGGACGGTTGCTGGCAAGTGATAAGGAGACAGAGTTAATCAGTCCAAAGACCAGCATTCAGTTTTGACTCTGATAGATAGATAGTAATACAAGAGGAAAACTGTACATTGCAAACATTCCATGATTAGGAATAAAAAGACACAGATATTTCTATTATGATGATAATGGTAGGAATACTATATCAACCTAGCACTGCTTCTAAAAATAGCCACTACAACTCCCTGCTCTGACTACTGTCACTGTAACTGGCCTAAATCACTTAGGGCAATGTGGTAGCTAGTTGCTGTCCAGCCGAGGAGACTCATGATGACTTTACGTTTAACAGGTTGAAACATTATTATGTGGTCTGGCACTATCCTCATAACTGTTAGTTTGTCGGAGCCCTTTCTGCACCTGCTGTGTGAACCCACACCATGAAGGGCGTCCCATGTTTTCACCTACCCTCCACCATGCATGAGTCCTTTTGTAGTGATTAGTCGTCCTTGATGGTGTGTGTGCCCTAAGTGAGCAGGATGATGTCTTTCCAGCCTTGCTTCTCAGGAACTTTCTAGCTGCTAACTAATAACTAAAATCCACAGAAGCTACACATTGTACCTTTGTTACGCAGTGGAGCATATCTAAGTATAAACGAGAGAGCTAAGTAGGAAAACTTTAGAAAATCTTTGCCATTTATATTTTCATGCGAGTAACACCGACATTATAGATTATTTTGCCAGTCATGCAACCTCCCTTGCCACTCTGTCACACCTGACTTTCAATAAGAATGCAAGGCTTACTAGCACGCATGTGCTATTTTGCAAAAATGTGTGGTATATTTGTGTCAGTCTTTTTTTTTTTCTCAACTGGCAAATGAGACTGATTCAAAAAGTTCATGGAAAAATTTCATCATCTTTTCATTTCATTTCCCATGAACTTTTAGAAGTACCCTCTTATGTAAATGTGTCCATATCCTGTAATAATTTAGATCAGATTGTTAGCATAAGTTACAGATGACGACAGATATGAAGAAGCAAGAGAAAATAATTTAACATCCTACACTGTGAGCTCTGGTAGCGTAGTGGTTATGAATTGGGCTGCTAACTTCAAGGTCAGCAGTTTGAAACTACCAGCTGCTCCACAGGAGAAAGATGAGGCTTTCTGCTCCAGTAAAGATGTGCAGCCTCGGAAACCCTGTGCAGGGTCACTATGAGTCAGAACCGACTCCACGGTATTCAACAACAACACTGTGATTTTACATTTGCACGCTGTTCATAACAATTTTCAAAATAAAACAGGTTTTGTTTTTTTGTAAGGTTTATGTAGCTAAAGTTAGAAATGTGTAATGTTGAAAAAGTACCTTAAAGGAATTAATTCATTGCCTTTCAGTTTGCGGCATTTTGGGGGATAGGTCAGATAGGTTTGTTGTTAAGTGCCATCAAGTTGGTTAGGATTCATAGCGGCCCTGTAAAGGGTTTCCAAGGAGTGGCTGGTGAGTTTGAACTGTTGACCTGTGGCTAGTAATTCAGTGCTTGTTTGTTGTTGTTGTTAAGTGTCATCAAGTCGGTTTCAACTCATGGCAACCATATGCACAACAGAACAAAACACTGCCCGGTCCTGTGCCGTTTTCACAATTGCCCACTGCTACTACTACTGGTGCCAATCCATCATGATGGGGGACTTCCTCTTTTTTGCTGACTCTGTACCTTACCAAGCATGATGTCCTTCTCCAGGGTCTGGTCCTTCCTGATAACATGTCCAAAGTAAGAGAGACAAAGTCTCGCCATGCTGGAGCCTAATGAGCATTGGAGGTATACTTCTTCCAACACAGACCTGTTTGTTCTTCTTGCTGTCCATGATACTTGTAATATTATTCACCAACACCATAACTCAAAAGAGTCAATTCATCTACTGTTTTCCTTATTCATTGTCCAACTTTCACTTGCATATGAGGTGACTGAAAGTAAAGGCTTGGATCAAGTAATCCTTGAACTGCTATCTTTGCTCTTAAACTTTAAAGAGGTCTTATGCAGCAGATTTGCAATCAAGATATCATTTGATTTCTTGACTTTCTAGAGAGTTGATGTTAGAACCAAGAAAAATGACGTTATTGACAACGGCAATCTTTTTTCCATTTATCACTGTATTATTTATTAGTCCAGTGGTGAGGATTTTGGTTTTCTTTACTTTGAGGTGCAACCCATACTTAAGGCTGTAGTCTCTGATCTTCATCAGTAAGTATTGTAAGTCCTCTTTGCTTTCAGTAAGCGGGAGTTGTATCATGTGCATATTGCAGGTGGTTAATGAGTCCTGGTGTGGTGCTGAGAGTAAATGCATTGGACTGCAAAGTCGGTTTAAACAGCAAAGTCCATGGTTCACGCACACCAGCCACTCCTCAGAAACCCCCACAAAGTGTCGCTATAGGTCAGAACTGACTCAAATCCTGATGCCACATTCTTCTTCAAATAATCCAACTTCTCCGATTTATTCGCTCAGCATATAGAGTGACTAAGTGTGGTGAAAGACTAAAATCCTGGTGCACACATTTCCTAATTTAAACCCCATGCTCTGTCCTAACAGCTGCCTCTTGGTCTGTGTATGATTCTTCATGAGTACAATTAAGTACTCTGGAATACCCCTTCTTGGCAATGTTATCTATAGCTTTTCATAACCCACACAGCCTTTGCATAGTCAATAAAGCACAAATAAACATCTGTTTGGTATCCTCTGCTTTCAGACAAGATCGATCTGACATCAGCAATGATATCCCTCATTCTACATCCTCTTCTGAATCTGGTTTGAATTTCTGGCAGTTCTTTGTGGATGTACTGTTGCAGCCATTTTTTAATTATCTTCATCAAAATTTTACTTGCATATGATATTAGTGACATTGTTAGATGATTTCTGCATTCTGTTAGGTCACCTTTCTTTGGAATGGACACAAATATGGATCTCTTTCTATCGTTGGCCAAGTAGCTGCCTTCCAAATTTTTTGGCACCGATGAGTGAATGCTTCTAGTGCTTAATCAACTTTCTGGAAAGATTTCAATTTGCATTCCATTCATTTTCACCAATGCCTTTAGTGCGGCTTGGATGGCTTCCTTCAATACGATTGGTTCTTGATTATATACTCAGTGTGAGAAATGCTGAGCATGTCTTTCCTTTTTTGTTTTCTAACTCCAGGTCTTTGCACATATAGTATTCCCATTAGCAGATGGAAGCAGGTGGGCGGGGGGTGGGGAGTGGGGAAATGCCAAATTTTCCAGCAGTAATAGTATTTTTCATATAGGTTAGATTTCTGTACAATATTTTTGCTTCTGAAAAATCCGTACAGAAGTCATACTGTAGAAAAGACAACCACTCAATATTCCTCAAATTAACAATACAGGCAGTCCCAAGATCCATTCCTAACTGTGTCTTTAAGAATTTGTAGGGAAGTCGGGAAAAAACACATACAATTCATATTTGGTGCTTTGGGATAAGCATCAGATTATCAACTGCCAAGTCAACAGTTCAAACCCACCAGCTGTTCCATGGGGAAAAGATGAGGCTTTCTGCTCCTGTAAAGATTTACAGCCTCAGAAACGCTGTGCAGTAACTAGAAGTTGCTATCAACTCAATGGCAGTGACTTTGGTTTGGTTTTAGTACAATAGAAGGTGTAAAGGATTTCAAAACTTCACGTGAAATAAGTGTAGGTGATTGTGATGAAGAATTCTGGTAGGACTACAGGTTGGCTCAATTGCTTCAAAGCAGGGCTTAGAACAGGTTCTTCTCAGTTCAGTCATGGCTGAGGAATTCCAAAGATGGTAACACCGACTCAAGCTGGCAGATGACCACACTAACCCTGAATGTGTACGGCTCACTACACCTCTTCTGAGTCACCTATTCCAAGGCTTCAAACTGTATTTTCCCCCATTTTAGTTATTGTGACAAAACATCCAAACTGTATACATTTAAGAATATTCCTATATTGCTTTTCAGCCATGCCAGAAGCAGTTCACATTGGTTCAAAACCCTGCTTAAAGGACAAGGAGAGGTTGTACAAAATTGGATGTATGCTCCCTGGGGACTGCTTGTATTTTGACTCTAAAACAAAATGCTGGCAAGAATCTAATGAGCTTCCTTTCATTTCCATTTCAATATTGTTTGAATGTGAGTTGAGGAGAGGACTGAGCAAAGAGTCAAAAATCAAGGGGCAAATGTTGGATGGATGGTGTCAATAAATCAATGAAGGGTATGCATCTTTCTATTAAAAGGAACATCCCGAATTCTTGTTGGTCAAAGTCACAGAATTATGAAATAAAGAAGTATATTTGGAACCAAAGCTTCCTGAGACTCAGAGTGTGGAGAGCTCAAATTAGTACTCCTTGTTACTTGCTAAAAGAAAAAAGTATATTGCCAATATCTATTAACCCTCTAGAGTACAACACATAGATTATCTCATGTTGAGTGTAAAAAAAAACACACCAATGTTGGCAGGCCCACATTATAACAAAGACTCAAGTGTAAGTTTATGGTTCAAGTACTTATGTGATAAAGCAAGTATGATCACATTAAAGAGAAATCTTACTACATGCTGACCGACAGTGACATTCCCCACAAGTGACTGATGCAGACACCCTACACAAAGAATTCTCCTCATTAGGCATCTCAGTTGCTACCGCTCTGGGTGGAGTGGTTCCAGTACCTGAATGCATTCAATCTGGTACCATCTTTTTGTTAGTTTTTTTAAATACTTCTACACTCTTAAGAAAGATCAAGTAACATATGTCTAAAGCTGGGTATAACTAGAAGTCTAAGATAATTTATTTAGAATATAAATGTGGCAAACAATTCTAGAAACTCTTACCTTGAAATGACTGCTTGGCTCTATCTACTAGTTCATCAATCGAATAACTGGCCAAATTTCCTCTGGCATGTTTAGTTTTACAGTAGGTGCAGGCATTGAGACACCTGTTCAAATGAGAGCAATGAATAAGTCTCAGATATATAAAGACAGTGTATACTTAACATAGAGAAAACAATCAAACAAACAAATTATACACTGAGATGCAACTTTAATACTATTTCCTAGTTTATACAAGATATATCAAAAATAAACATTTACCATGTGTCATATTTATTTTGTTGCCAACAAGCACAGAAATTTGCAAATTAATTCAACTATTTAAGAATGGTTGTACAAATTGCATCAGATTATCTTAAAATGCACATAGCTATGAAGAACAGAATTTATAAATACTAAATGATCAACTAATTAAAAGAAATTCAAGACCCACTGTTTTGTTTTTTCTACAATCTTTTGACTTCATATAAGCAGACAAAAACTTAACATAACTTATTTATAATGTCCTGGTGTGGCATAGTAGGATAAGTAAATGGACTGCTAATTACAAAGTCGGCAGTTCAAACTCACCAGCCACTCCTCAGATACTCTACACAGGATTGCTATGAGTCAGAATTGACTCGACAAAACTTAATAATTTATAATGTATTGTTCAGAAATGATGACACATGCTTATTTAGCCCTTGACCAATGATATAAGAATAGGCAACATGACATTCTCATAAAAATATATGCACCGGAAATTTTCAGATAATTTTTATGTCTTGAGATCAAAGAAAATAAACTATTAAAATGTGTCTGTTGGATATTCTTTGGAATTACATTAGTCAAATGGTTAAACAGATTTATTTCTCAATAGTTTTTAGACATGATAAAGAATTACCTTTTAAAATCGAAAATGTTGGTTCTACTTATGTACTTGAAAAATATAATTAAAATATAATTTAAAATACAATAAAACCGTCAGAGCATAATAAAATAGTTCCATGCCAAAAAGATAAGGCTCAACAACATGGAAAAGAACAACATATCTCTTTGGTGATTCAGTTGCTATAATGAATAGCAAAGTTTTCAATGATCACAAAACATAAAGGCTTGAAATTTTCTTTCTTTTGGAACAACAAAAAAATATTGAACTTTTAGTAACTTAATTGGACCATTGCTTTCTTTTATTAATATGCATCCTTAAATGTACACATGAATCATTATACTCCACAGTTAGTTATACAATGCTTACTGTCTATGATCTTAGCATAGAACCTGAAAGCAAAATAACACATATATTTGGAATTGTGTTTTATTACTTCACCAGCCACATAATCTTAATCAGCTAAAACCCTTTGCTTCACTCCATAGCAATTTATATTTAAATATACATTGTTGTTGTTGTTGTTATGTGCCGTGGAGTCGATTCCGACTCATAGTGACCCTGTACAGGGTTTCCGAGGCTATAAATCTTTACGGGAGCGTTCTGCCTCATCTTTCTCCTGCGGAGCCGCTGGTAGTTTCGAACTGCTAACCTTGTGACTCACAGCCCGATTCATAACCACTACGCTAATACATACATATATATCCTGGTGTGGCGCCATAGGATAAGCACTCAACCTCAAGATCAGTTTGAACTACAAGGTCGGTGGTTCAAACTCACCAGCCCTTCCTTGGAAACCCTATACAGAGTTGCTATGAATCAGAACCAACTCGGTGACACTTAACAACAACAATAATACATACAATGTGAGTGTGGTGGCTCCATACAACGAGCACTGGATTGTGAACCACAAGATGGGTGATTTGAGCCCACCAGCAGCTCCATTGGGAGACTTTCTGCTCCCGCAAAGATTTAGAGCCTTGGAAACACAATACAGGCTTGCTATGAGTCAGATCAGAATGGACAGCGCTTAACAACAACAAAACAAATACACATATTATAATTTATCACAGTTGTATGTCTTCTCATATTTTCAATTTCTGACCTTCCATAACAAGGATAAGGAAAATACCGTCCTGTTATCTTATCCTTGGGAAGGCAATTCACTTTTTCTTAGCTTTGAGTATGAGACAGTGTTGGAGGTGTTTTACACACATTAGCTCATTTAACTGAGTTGAGATTCAAAGCCAGGAATCTAGATTTCAAACTATATGATGTTTATTCTTCAGTTGGCTCTGTGGCAAACCATGTCACCTCATCTGACAAGTTGGGAACCCAGGAAGACTAGGGCTCTTCCTTCATAGTTCCTCAAATAGCTCCATGGTCCCCTCAATGTACTAAAGCCCCCCATTCATCAGGAGGTTCCCCTTAGGACTGGCATTCATTTGGTGAAATTTGGCTGCTTCCAGGGCATAAGAGAGCTTCAAAAAGTTCATGGGGGAAAAATGGAATGAAAAGATAATGGACTTTTCCAGGAACGTTTTGAAGCCCCTCCTATCTGCTATTTGCACCTCCTCAGACTCACCATGTCTCCTGGCTCCCTCTCTCATTGCTCTTTTTTTCTTAGATTACCAATAGATAACTCACACAGGGGAACAGATCTTTGCAATGTAAGGAATGTGGGAAAGGCTTTCTAGGTCCCCATATCTTATTTGACATTCAAGAACTCACAAATGGAGAAAGGTCATATATAATGAGTGTGGAAACAGCTTTAGCAATTCCTCCTGTCTTATGATTTAATAGCCCTGGTAGTGTAGTGGGTTACAAACTGGACAACTAACCACATGGTCAAGCAGTTCAACTTGACCAAATCTCCTGTGAGAGAAAGATAAGGCTTTCTGCTGCTGTAAACATTTACCACCATGGAAACTCTATACATGGATGCTATGAGTTGGAACGGACTCAATGACACACAACAACCACAACAACAACCAATACAGGGCTCCATGAATTAAGCTGATTATCTTTAAAAAGTTACTAATATTTCAGACTTAGGCTATAAGTTACAACCGTGTGGGAAAAGAGAAGGGAGGAAACAGATCCATTTTAAACATTTACAAGAAGAACTGGACTATACATGTAAGGCACGTAAAATTATGTCTGCATTTAGGAAGGGTTTAGTTATTGTTATTAAGTGCCATCTAGTCCATTCTGACTCACAGTGACCCTACATAGGGCTTCTAAGGAGCAGCTGGTGAGTTTGAACTACTGACCTTGTAGTTAGTAGTCCAGTGCTTGTCCTCCACCGTCACACCAGGACTCTAAGAATCTGAACTAGTCTTTACTAAATTGCTTCTCTGGGGTTAATTAGAACACATACACAAATTGTTGTTGTTAAATGTTATCAAGTGGGTCCCTTTATATGGGTTCTGAGAAGTGGCTGGCATATATATACATACACATACATACATACATATATATACATATATAATGTATATACACACACAATAAGGAGTTCTCAAAAAGTGTGGAAAATTTTAATTTTTCCATGAAGTTTTTGAAATCCCCCCAAATAAATAAATATACATGTGTGTGTTCCACATTTTATGTTGTCTAAAATGGGTTTCTCTTCTTAACCCACCGTTATCAAAGTAACCCTTTTAACTTTCACAAACTAAAAAGTTTTATAGAGTGTATTTTTTGTATGCATGCTGTAACAGTAACAATTCAAGCATTAAATCTGCTGTTTTACTTTTAAAAGGGAGAGAGATTTTATATAATACACGGGGGGGGGGGTGGAGATGCAATGCAAAATCATAAGAGAATGAGCTCTTTGATGCCATTTGGTTTAAAATAATTTTCCAATCCACCAGGAACTCTGTTACACAATCATGTAGACATAGCAGGCATCCCATAAAATAAAGAAATTCTTCATAGGAACGATAGTTTCAGTGACCGGTAAACAATTAAAGAATTGTCTAAGAGTAAGAACCCTGAGCCACTTTCTTCAACCGTCAGGAAACAAAAGATCTTTGAAGGTTGACTGTTGAAAGCCCAGACCAAAAAGAGATGGCTGTTGAGTAGCAAGGAACAAGCAAAATCCTGAATAGACTTAGGCTGTTTCGATGGAAGGATAAGACCAGTATATCACACCTACTAATCTTTGCACAGGTTTTTTGTTCTATGACCACAGGCCAAGAAATGACAAAAAGTCTTAAAGGTAGAGGAAGATTAAGCATTGCATTTAGCAGCAAAACGCTGAAGTTTCAAAAGCTATCAGGGGTAGAATATGTTTAACTTACACAAACTAGATGACACAGCAACGGATTTTCACAGATTAAAGTATTTCAAAGGGTTAAAACATATAGCAACTTGCCAAATTAATACCTGAACTACAAAAAACAAATAAAAAATTAAAAGTTTTAAAACATTCAGTCTTTAGTTTTAAATGGCATCTTTATATTATCATATAGGCTTTGGGACTAAAACAGCAGAGTTGGCCTATTAAAAATTCACCTATACTGATGTCTTTTTTCATGGAGGAGAGAGAAACAGCCAGATGTGACTCATTCTTCTGCTTCTCCCTCTGCTCCCAGTCAAAGACAAATCAAATAAGCAAAATCTATAATGCGCTGTACCACAAGGTCACAATGAACCTAAGGGTCAACAGCTCAATTCCACCAATTCTATAGGGTTACTATTAGTTGCAACCAACTTGACAGCACTTAGCCACAACAACAACATTTTTGATTCAAGCATTAACAAGTCAAACTAGTATACTCCATTCCAGTCACATGATTCAATTTTTAGAGTCCTGGTGTGGCACTTTTGGGTTAATGCACTAGACTGCAAAGTCAGTTTGAATCGCAAGGTTGGTAGTTCAAGCTCAGCAGACATATCAGAAAACTTATATAGGGCCACTATGGGTTAGAACCGACTTGACAGCAGTTAACAACAACAACAAATAAAGCTGAACCTTGGGAGTAGTTAATCTTACTTTCAAGGAACAGAGGACCCTAGGAGCATCAAGGGAAAAGAGCACAAGAGGAATGTGAGGCCCTATCCAGAGAAGCAGGGACACCAGAGATGGCGGCAGAGATGAGGACATGGAGTGAAAGAACAGCTGAGGACTACAGACTCAAGGAAAGAGAAAGGCTGTGTGCTGGCAGCCAGGAGGCAAGCTTGCAGAATGTGCCCTTTGGTTGTTTAAATGATCATATGTTCCTGATTGTTCTTGTG